CGGGCGGGGCTCGCGGGGACTGGGTCTCCCTGGGCTGGACACAGCCCGGCCGTTTCCGGATCCAGCCGGGGTCCCCTCCAGGCTCCGATGCCGGCAGCTGCTTCCTGGGCTCGCTGGCTCCGGGTGCTGCCCCCGCTCTGCCAAGGCCGGGGCTGGGAAGAGGGGGAGGAACAGCGGATGTGATGCCCGCCGACCACCTGCCGGGAGGGACGTCTGAGATGGGTTTTGAGAGATGAGCAGGAGTTCGCTCTGTTTAGGTGCAGGAAGCTTGGTAAACAGGCCACTGTGGCTGGCAGGGGTGCGGGGAGGTAGGCACAGGGGAGGCCAGGGGCCAAGGGCTGAGCCCCAGAACCGCCCGGAGGCAGGTGGGAATCAATTGGCTGCATGGGGAGAGACTAAAAAGTGGTCCAAGGATGTAGTCAGATCGGCCAGGCCTGACCCTGTTCCCGAGGGCGGGCACAGTGCACGGTGGGTGTCACAGGTAGCAGAGGAGTTGGCTGGGGAGGCTCCTTGGTCCAAGAAGGGCCACAGGCGTGTGGTGAGGGTGAGTGTCTCTGTGTGTGACTCAGGATGGCTAAGTATGTGTGTGTATGTGTGTGTGTGTGTGTTTCTTGCTGAGTATGTGTGTGGACACATATGTCAGACTCCCAGCACATACAGATTCTGTGGGACTGCATCTGTGTGCCTGAGTATTTGCTGTTCCTGTTCCGGGGTGTGCCCGTGTGCATGGCCTTGGGTGTGGGGTGATTGTGTCCACACGGGCGTGAACGCATGCCTGCCCATGGGGTATGACTGTGTCCATGTGTGTGTGTCTCTGGGGGTATGACTGTGTGTCTGTGTGACTGTGTGCATGTGTGTCCCTAGGGGTGTGATTGTATCTGTGTGAGACTGTGTCTCTCTGTGTGCACACTTGACTCTGGGGGCGTGATTCTCTGTGCGACTATATTTCTGTATATATGTACAAATGTCCCTGGGGGTGTTACTGTGTGTGTGTGTCCTTGAGGGTGTGGCTCTGTGTGTGTGTGTGTGTGTGTGTGTGTGTGTGTGTGTCTGGGGAATGTGACTATATCCGTGAGGCTGTGTGATTGTGTGTGGCTGAGGCTGTGTGCCCTGGGGATGTGACAGTGTGTCTGTGTGTCCCTCAGGGTGTGACTGTGTATCCTTGGGGCTGTGACTCTGTCTGTCCCTAGAGGTGTGTTCTTGGGGGGTGTGACTATGTGTCCCTGAGGGGAGGTGTCCCTGGGTGTGTGACTGTGTGTGCACATGTGCTGTCTTTGTGGGTCTGAGGAAGAGCCCACCTGGCACCCTACACCCAGCTTCTGCAGAGGCCCCAGGCCTGGGTCTCAGGCTCCTTTGAACCTCCTGCTTCTCTCTCCCACCCCCAGAAGCCCCCGGGGTAGCCTGTGCGCCCCAGCGCCACCAGCGAGGCCCAGGGAAGGGACCAGGGTGCCGTCCCCAGCAGCTGCCCGGATGGACTAGGCAGAGCACGTCTCTCTCTTCCTTCGGGGCTCTCGAGGACCTTCGGGGTCTGCTGGGGGGAGGGGGGGAGGGTGTTGATGAGAGTCCATGAAGGACTGGCCAGGGCAGCTGCATCCAGTTCCCGCCACGTGAACCTTCTTGGAAGGATTCTGGAGGGCTCCTAAGGCCGGGACCTTGCCCCAACCACGGTGGGAGTCACATGACCTAGGCCTGGCCAATCACAGGAACATGACCCAGACCTGGCCAATCACGGGACGCAAATCCCCTCGACTTGCCCATTGGCCCAGGCGTGGGCACGTGCTAAGGCCGGACCAATGAGGGCCCTGCCCTGGAATGTTTCTACGCCGAGGGAGGCAGAACAGCCTGGCTTCCTCCCGGCATGACACTGGGGCTAACTGCCCGAGGCGGCGTTTCCTCTGGTCCCCGGGAAGCCTGTGCCCCGGGCCCTGCTCAGAGGCGGGCTCCAGGACAGCCAGGCCACTCATTCCTGGCCCTGGCTGTTGCACTTTCTCAAACCCCCGCTGCACCCCTCCTTCTTCCACTGACCCCCCCATCGGCTGCCCCCTGGGGACCCTGGGGGTAACTGAGCACTGTCCCCCCGCCCATCGTCACATGGGCTGGACTGGGGGGGTCCCGGGACAGCCCTGCCTGGAGCATCTCCGGGCAGCTCTGGGGAAAGACGCGTTCCCAGGCTCCGCTGAACTCTCTGCAAGCGGTTCTGGAAGTCAAAGCCTGTAGTAGATTGCCCAGTTGTGGCACATTGGCCCCGGCTCGGTGGCTGGGCTGCTCTTGGAAGGGCATCTTCGGGGGCCTGCTGAATTGCTCCTCGGGGAGCCCCTGTCAGCTCCCGTTTGCTCTTGGGCTCAGTCTTCTGGGACTCCCAAGCAGGCCACCTGGGCTCTGAGCACCCTGGGTGGCTGGAGAGATTCTGCCATGCACACAGCCGGTCCCGGTTCCATTCCGCACCCCGTATATGGTGCCCTGAGCACCTCCGGGAGAGACCCCTGAGCACTGCTGGGTGTGAGCAGAAACCCCCACCCAAAGCCCTGCCGCCCTCAAGACCCCTCGCCCCTCCCTCTGCTGCCCCCCCCACCTCTGCTCGTTTCCTCCGGTCCCTCCTGGTGTGGGGGTGTCTCGGGTGCCCTTGTGTGCTGCCTGCAGAGGGCCATGGGGAGCCCCCACCCTCGGCAGGAGGCAGCCCCTCTTCTAGCTCGATGGCAGAAAGCATAGACGAGCCCTTCCGCCTGGGCCTCGGTGCCCCCACAGGACTGCTTCTCGGGGGGCATTCAAGGAAGAAGCAAGCGCTGCCTGCCCCTCGGTCCCGACACGCGTGAGTGTGGGGCTCGCGGGGTGCAGGACTGACTCTGGAAAGTTCTGGACCCAGGCACTGCTCTGCCAGGCCACCTCCTCCGCCAGGCGGGCCTCCAGGGGCTGCTCCCCGCCACAGGGCTGCTCTTCACCCTTTTCTGGTTCTCTGGGGCCGGGGACAGCCCACCATGGGGGAAGAATGTGCCTCCATCACAGAGCTGCAGGCCCTGGATTCCAGTAGGTTCTGCAGGGTCTAGGGACTGGCAGTAAAGACCCTGGGAAGGGTGATGGGGAAGGGAAATGGGGGAGAGCCAGGAAGCAGGGCAGGGAAGTGAGGTGCGGGGATGGGGGGGGGAACTGGGGAGAGGAAGGAGCTTCTTGAGGTTCTTCAGCATCACCCTCTCCCAGAGGTGCCTCTTCCGGCCCCCCCAGAACCCCTGTCTGTGGCTCCAGCCCTGACCACCACCTCTTCCCTACACACACATGCCCAGGGTTGGTTCCACCTCTGGTGAGGGGCCGTGAGAATCCAGGGAGCCTGCCCACAGCGCCAAGGGGGACTGTCCACTCCAGCCTGGCCTGGTGCCCACCTGCCTCCGGGAGAGGGTAGCGAGTCCCCAAGTCACCTTCCGGGTCCGGGGACGAGGACACAGACAGGGGTGGGGATAAATACAGGCCCTCCCTCCTGGGGGGACCAGGTTCCTCCCCGCACCCCAACCCCGGGGGAGCCCAGTATTAACTGCTCCAAGTGACAGGATCCCACCCTGCTGATGTCACCGGAGGATGACACTGTGGGCTTTGCCGGCGTCATTGGCGTCATCGCGGCCACCCAGTGCTGGCAGGAAGCTGAGGTCTGGGGGGGGAAGCCACCAGTCAGTCAGCCATCCACTCTCCCTTCCCAGAGACTGGCAGCATCTGCCTCCCCCGGGGACCTGAGCCCCCCAGTTTCCCACCGTCCAGGGAGGGGGCAGCTCTCTGCAGGGCCAGGGCCCAGAGTGCCCCAGAGTGCCCCAGAGCTGGGACACTGGAGCAGCTCTGTCCTGGGTGGGGCGGGGCCAAGTCGGAGGGGCTGCAGGGAGGGGGGGGAGGGGGAAGGGGACCCTCACATGGCCAAAGTAGAGTCCTCCCACTGGAAGGAGAGCTGGGCCCATTACAAAGGGCACCCGCCCCAGGGGTCCCCGGAAGCTGACTGTGGGTCCTTCCCGGCACCCACCGGAGCACCCCTGCAGAGTTGTTCTGCATCTGCGTCTCTCTTGCTCTTCCAAGGGGGCCCTTCAGGAAAGGACTGAATGGTCCCCTTGGCCTCCCCCTTGGGGACCGGGAGCCCAGCTTGGTACGGACAGACACCTTTGGCACCCCATAACTGCCCCCCCCCCCTCCGCGTTCTGGCAGCTAAGTGGCTTCTGCCACTCTCTCCAGGAAACGCTTGGTGCCCCCCCTCAGCCTCCAGGGAGGCCTCCTGGGTTTGTCTGCTCCCCGGGAAACCTGGCACGGACTGTACCTCTGCCTCTTCCACTTCCTCTTTGTCAAGATAATCATGCCCTGTGGCTCTGGGGTTGGGTGAGTGGTCCGGGTGCTGGGGGGGAGCACAGTGGGGGAGTTTTACTGCTCTCAGTAAAGCGTGAAGCGCTTCCCCTTCTGGTATCCCTTCCTGCGGTCCTACTCTGCACTCGCTTCCCTCAAGGGTGAGAGGGGAGGGAGTGGAGGGCAAGACTAGAACTGACCTCTGGGGGAGGGGAGGGGGCCCGCGGGGCTGGGGTGAGGTGTCAAAGCCTCAGCCACCGCCGCCGCCGCCGCCGCCTGGGAGCATCAGCGCCCTGGGGTTGGAGGGGGAGGGGTGTCACCAAGGTCCTGGGGCCGGACAGATGTTGCAAAGGGCTGGGACATGCTTTGCATGCCAGAGGACCCCCGCATCCCAGCCGCAGGGAAGGTCGGTCGCTGGCCGCTCTGGAGGGGACCCCCAGGGTTGAGAGAACCCCGGAGCTGGGCCTGGCCCGGTGCCGACGGAAAGGCGGGGTGAGTGGGCCGCGTGGGAGGATGCTCGGCCCGGGCGCCGGGGGCGGGGATGGGGGCGTGGGGCGGGGGGGGGGGACCCCAGCGGCCCCGAGCGCGCTTGCTCGCTTCCTCTTCTTCGCCAGCCCCCGACCGACCGACCGACCCGGACGCGGCGGGGCCCGAGGGCGCGGGCCGGCGAGCGCGGCCCCCTGCGGGCGCGAAGGGGTTAAGGCACCTGGGCCGCCGCCCCCGGCCCCTCCCCGCGCCGCCCGCCCCGTCCCGCCGCGGCCAGAGCCCGACCGCGCGCCCGCTCGCCGGGGCCGCCATGTCTCAGTGGTGAGTGGGGGGCCCCGTCGGGGGTCCCGGGAGGGCGGCGACCCCCCCCACCCGGGCGGCTGCGACCCGGGCCCCGCCCGCGCCCCCCGCGCGCCGCGACCCCCTCGGGGCTGGCCGCGCGCACTCGGACACGGCCCCGACGGGGTGCGCTGGGGGGACCCGGGTTGGCGCGGCCCGGTGCACCCCGACCCTGCGCCGGGGGTCGGCCTGGGGGTCTCTCCTGGGGAAACTCAGCCTCCCTCCCACCGCTCCGGGCGCCGGGAGGCCGGCGGACCCTGCCCTCTCCCCCCACCCACCCCCCCCACACACACACCCCCACCGCGACACCCCTCCCGACCTCCCCGGGACCCCTCACCCCGCTTGGCCCCCTCCGGGAGCGGAGGGTCTGGGGTCCCCGGTGGAAGCCCCGCGGGCACTTGCGCTGAGACTCATCTCGCAGTCAGGGGCCAGTGCCGGTTCCTGGACGGAGGCTGTGGGGGTCCCAGTATGTTCCCCTCCTAAGACAGTGGAACTGGGGGGGGGGGCTTGAATCTCTCCAGGATAAAAACTCAGGGGGCCCAAGGGTGAGGGGACAGCCGAGGGGGTTTGGGTAGGAGCAGCCCCCCTTGCCCACGGCCTCCTCCGCTGGCCACCAGGGGCAGCCTGGGTCAGTGAGGGGCCCCCGCGTAGAGGGACAGGCTGGCACCGGTGTTCCCCACCCCTCCCCCGGACAGCAGACCTGGGGTGCCGGTATGCGTTCACTGTGTTTGCACAGGGAATGGATGGCGGACGGGATACAGGGTGTTTCGAGGTCACCCCAGGCCCTCCACTGGCAGCCCTGCCTCCACCATCACCCTACTTTCCGGGGTGGGGGGGGAAGTGGCTAGGGAGGATGGAGAAGGTGGGTTTGGGGTACCACAGAGGCCTGTGAGCTTGAGTGCCTGAGCCCCGGGGGGCAGGGGGGGAGAGGGAGCAGGACCCCGGACCCCCTGCCCTTCTGGCTGGGAAGATCCAGGGCCTCACCACCCACTTCCCCCTCGCCCCCTGCAGGAAGAAAACCATCTACAAGAGTGTGTGCCTGTCCCTGGCCCTGCTGGTGGCCGTGACGGTGTTCCAGCGAGGTCTCACCCCGGGCCAGTTCCTGCCGGGTCCCGCGGCGCTCCAGCTCCGGCTGCACAAACCCAGGGGCCCCTTGACGCAGCCCCAAGACTTCTGGAAGACCCCCGAGGATGCGGCGCCCCCCACGCCAGCGGCCTCCCGGGGGCCCCGGGCCTGGGACGTGACCAGCATCAACTGCTCGGCCAACGCCAACCTGACGCAGCAGGCCTGGTTCCAGGGCCTGGAGCCGCACTTCCAGCAGTTCCTGCTGTACCGCCACTGCCGCTACTTCCCGCTGCTGCTAAACCACCCCGAGAAGTGCCGGGGCGCCGTGCACCTGCTGGTGGTCGTCAAGTCGGTGATCACGCAGCATGACCGGCGCGAGGCCATCCGGCGCACGTGGGGCGCGGAGCGGGCGTCGGCGGGCCCGGGGCTGGGCGCCGTGCGGACCCTCTTCCTGCTGGGCACGGCCTCCAAGCGGGAGGAGCGCGCCCACTACCAGCAGCTGCTGGCCTACGAGGACCGCCTCTACGGCGACATCCTGCAGTGGGACTTCCTGGACAGCTTCTTCAACCTGACGCTCAAGGAGACGCACTTCCTCAAGTGGCTGGACATCTACTGCCCCAGCGTGCAGTTCGTCTTCAAAGGCGACGACGACGTCTTCGTCCACCCGGGCAACGTGCTGGAGTTCCTGGCCGACCGGCGGCCCCAGGAGGACCTGTTCGTGGGGGACGTGCTGCGCCACGCGCGTCCCATCCGCCGCAAGGACAACAAGTACTACATCCCGGTCAGCCTGTACGGCAAGGCCAGCTACCCGCCCTACGCGGGCGGCGGCGGCTTCCTCATGACCGGCGGCCTGGCCCGCCGCCTGCACGGTGCCTGCGACTCGCTGGAGCTCTACCCCATCGACGACGTCTTCCTGGGCATGTGCCTGCAGGTGCTGGGCGTGCAGCCCACGGCCCACGAGGGCTTCAAGACCTTCGGCATCTCGCGCAACCGCCACAGCCGCATGAACACAGAGCCCTGCTTCTTCCGCTCCATGCTGGTGGTGCACAAGCTGCTGCCCCGCGACCTGCTGGCCATGTGGCGGCTGGTACACAGCAACCTCACCTGCGCCCACCGCCTGCAGGTGTTCTGAGCCCCGGGGCCGGGCAGTGGCCGGTGGGAGCCGGAAGTGCGGGCGGGCGGGTGGGTGGGCAGGTGTCTGCCCTGGGTCCCCGCCGCCCCAGCTCAGGTACAGAGCCCGGCTGGGACCTGCCTGGGCCCGTGGCCACCCTCAGAGAAGAGTTCGCCCCCCTGCCCCCCACCCTGGGTGCCCCCACCCTGTGCCTCTCCCTGGAAGTTGAGCCCTGTGCTGGCTCACAGGTGCCCCCCCCACATTCCCTCCCCTACCACAGTGCCTTGGCACCAGCTGTGCCCTGTGAGTTCCGTCCCGGCCTGTCCTCCCACAGCCCCGGCGGCCACCCTGACTACCTCAGTGACCCTCAAAACCTCCATGGGGGTGGGGGCGGCTGCCCACTCCACCCACAGGCAGAAGAGCAGTGCTCGCCCCACCCCCCTCGAAGCCCGACACGGTGCCGTCAGGACCCCCTGCAAGCCTCCAAGGCCCTGGCACCAGCTGTGGACGTTCCTCCGACTGTGAAGTTTAATTTATGAAGAACCGGGAGGGAGAAGGCGCCAGGTCTGCCGATTCAACAAACCACCTGCTCGTCGGCCCACCGCCGAGCACCCCCAAGCCTGGCAGCCCCCTTCAGAGCCCGGCCCACGCCCCGCTTGGTGGGCTCCGTGCAGACCAGCATCTGCCCCTGTGGAGGGAGGGCACAATGCTGACTCCAGGGCCCTCGGCGGGGCCGGGGGCCGGGGAGCAAGCTGACACCTCGTTTCACGGCCTCTGACACTGGGTCTGACCCAGGGGTCGGCCCTCCTCAATAAAAGGCTGGTTTCCCTGGTGACTCCAGGGTGTCATTCTGCCTGCGGGTCAACCAAGGTGAAACCTGGTTCCTCCATTCCCGGCTGGAGTCCCCGGAACCCCTTGCTGGGCTGGAAGGAGGAAAGGACCGAGGGGACGTCCCTGGGGTCAGTCTAGAAGAGGGTACAGTGGGGAGTGCGCCAAGGGGCCCATCACTGCTAGTGGGGGGCCCTGGGCCACTTACTTCCTGGGCAGGCAGCACCCAGAAGATCCCCTGGGCCCAGTGAAGCCAGAGCCGTCTACCCGCAGCCTAAGCTTGGCAGTGGGGGTTCCCTTTGTTGGTCTACCCCAAGTGGGTCCCCAGGCTGGACCCCAACCACTGGGCAGGATCTTAGAGCAGAAGAGAGGCCGGAACAGTACCCCCTCCCCCCTCCGCCACAGAAGACTCCTTCCTCCCGCCAGCTCTCAGCCAACTCGAACCCCTGACTTCCGTGTACGAGATGAAGGTGGCAGCCCCCCACCCCCAAATACACACATACGCGCGTGCACACACACACACCGAGAAAGAAGCAATCCGAGGGACCCGGGAGAAGTGGATGGGGTTGGAGGAAGCAAAGGCGGGCCCAGGTCTTGCCGACGTCAGTCCAGAGAGAACAAGGTTAGTGGGAGACACTCAGGAGACGGGGGTGCAAGTCCGGAGGGTGCCCAGTGAACCCAGAAGAGGGGCGGGCATGGGGACCCCGCAGGGGTCAGGCCTGGTCCTGAGAGCAGGGTGGGTGCTGACAGGTGTGGGCTGGGGCGCTCCTCCCATCCCACCTCAAACCTTCAGGGCTGGCCTAGGACTGGCCGAGGCAGGGGTGCAGCGGAAGGGAGGGCTGGACCCACTTGAGGGGGCCATGTAGGACCCCGGCACAGGGTGGGGAGCAGCTGCGGGGCACCTGGGAGGAGAAGGCGCTGCCCACCAGCAGGAGGGACTCGTGCGGGGTCCGGTGCTGGGAAGGGGGCCTAGTGAGGAAGGCAGACCTGTCTGGGGCAGGGTGCTCTCGGCGGGGAGGACACTGGCCTTGCCTGCAGCAATCCCGGATTCGATCCCTGTAGCCCATAGGTCCCCCAAGCTCACAAGAGCAATCCCTGAGTATCACTGGGTGTAGTTAAAAAAAAAAACAGGGGGCTCAATCAGAATGGGGGTCTCGGTCAGCTGGGGTGCTTGGTCAGAGTTAGGGCACTCGGTCAGAGTGCGGGTGCTCATAGTTGGGGTGCTTGGTCAGTGTTAGGGGGCTCAGTCAGAATGGGAGGGCTTAGAGTTCAGATTCTCAGAGTTGAGGTGCTCAGAGCTGGGGTGCTCGGTCAAGTTGGGGTGCTTGCTCAGAGTTCGGGTGCTCTGTCAGAGTTGGGTGTCTGCTGAGCAGGGAAGAGACCAGGACATCCCTCGCCTGAGACACAATCTCACCCCCAACCTCCCATGTGGAACTTGGGGGCAGATACCGCAGCCCCCAAGCACCAGGTCTGAACAAGGCCGCCTGTCCCTGATCCAGTTCCTCTGCAGGCCCTCCCCCCCCGGAAGAGGGGGCTGGTGAGTGGGGCCACTGTCCTCCGCCGGCCTCTGGCCCAGATCCAGGCTCCCTCTCAGCTCACCAGTGTGTCCTCTGTCCGCCCGGGAAAGAAAGAAACACCCCCCAAAGACATCCTTCTGGAAGGTTCCAGAACATTCAGTTATTCACAATCCTGCTTCTTGGGGGCTGGAGCGATAGCACAGCGGGTAGGGCGTTTGTCTTGCACGCGGCCAACCTGGGATCGATTCCCAGCATCCCATATGGGCCCCTGAGCACCGCCAGGAGTAATTCCTGAGTGCATGAGCCAGGAGGAAACCCTGAGCATCACCAGGTGTGATGTGACCCAAAAAGCAAAAAAAAAAAAAAAAAAAAAGCACAATCCTGCTTCTGGATGAAGACAAGAAGACAATAGCAATGACCACTTCACGGAACAAGTAGCGTGCGTCACTGCAATAACCTGCCCATATGCCATACACCCTATTGGCAGGTAACTGGAGCGGGACCAGAGCCATAGCAGAATGGCACTTATCTGGCATGCAGCCAACCCGGATTTGGTCCCTGGCACCTCATAGCCTTCCCTGAGCCCCACCGGGAGTGATTCATGAGCACAGAGCCAGGAGTAAGCCCTGAGCACTGCTGATTTGGGCCCCTCCCCCAAAAAAATATTGAAGGCAAACAATAACATCCCCAAATGTGCCTCTTTGCCATGGAGGGCCAATACGCAGAGGGAGGGGGCTGAGTTTTTTCCTCCCAGACCAGAACTCCAGCCCCGGAGCTGGAACGATAGCACAGCGGGTAGGACGTTTGCCTTGCACGCAGCTGACCTGGGTTCGATCCCCAGCATCCTATATGGTCCCACAAGCACTCGAGCACTGCCAGGAGTAATTCCTGAGTGCAGAGCCAGGAGTAAGCTCTGTGACCAAAAACAAACAAACAAAAAAATCCTCCGGCCCCAAACTGGGATCACCCCTCACAACATGTTCTCTGCGGAGCTTCCAGCCTCCTCCTGGGAATTCTCAGGGCTCCCTTGGGGCACTGGAGGGCAGGAAGTTCACACTCAGGACCCCAGACCCCTCTTCTCCTCATCCTCCTCCCCCCAAAGGGCAGCTGTCAGTTCTATGGCTGTGGGTCTGTTGGGGAACCCCACAAACTCTGACCTCTCTCCAGTTGGTGAGTCCCAAGCCTGGTGGTGGGGCTGCCCTTGGCCCCCAATTCCTGAGCTGCCCACCTGCCCCACTGCCTGCATTCCTAGAGGCCAGGAGAGGGGCTTTTGTCCAGCCTCAAAAGGTTCTTTTCTGTCTGCCCTTCTGCAGGCTGAAGGTGTCTGCTCCCCACATTTACATAACTAAGGGAGACCCCTAAACAAAGACAGACTGTTCCTAGGTGACAGTCACCTAGACAGAGAACAAGCCCAAGGAAGCTTCTGGAACCCTGTTATGCAGCACTTCAGGTGATGACAAGAGTCCCACAGTGATGACGTGAGCCGTGATAGGGACACTATATCCGCTCCCTAGAGAATCCTTCCCTTCCTCTCAGAAGCAACCACATGCAGAGGGGGTGGGAGTGAGTATCTGGGTTCAGAGTGGTCCCCCACAGCGCCTAGAAAAACGCTGTTCCCTGTGTGATTGGAAATTTAGGATTTAATGTTTGGGGGGGCTGCAATATTAGCATGAGATTTTCCCCCCCCAGATCATTACTCAAGGGGCCAGAGAACTAGCACAATGGGTTAGGCACTTGCCCTGCACATAGCTAAACCAGGTTCAATCCCAAATGGTCTCCCAAAACCAGCAGGAGTGATTCCTGAGTGCAGAGGCAGGAGTAACCCCTGAGCATCACCAGGTGTATAAACAAAAATAAAATAATAAAACAATAATAATAAAAAAAAATTTAAGGGAGAGGACCCGGAGCTATAGTACGGCTGCCTTGCGTGCGGCCGACCCAGGTTCAATCCTAAGCACCGCCGGGAGTAATTCTCGAGTGAAGGGCCAGGAGTAACCCCTGAGCAATGTTGGGTGTATCCCAAACTACCACCTCACGCTGCCAAAAAAAAAAATAGACTAGCCCCAAGCACTATTATTTTTTTAAAAGGGGACCTGAGGGGCCTGAGTGATAGTACAACGGGTAAGGACCATTTTCCTTGCAGGTGGCTGACTAAGGTTCGACCCGGACATCCCATGTGGTCCCCCGAGCACCACCAGGAGTAATTCCTGAATGCAGGGCCAGAAGTGACCCTGAGCTTTGCCCAAAAAAAGCCCAAAAACAGGCGGGAAGGGGGTGTCCGGAGGCCTGACAATAGTAGAGTGGGTAAGATGCCTGCCTTGCATAGAGCCAATCCAGGGGGATGCATTCGTATGTTTCCCCAAAGCCCACCAAGAGTGACCCCTGAGCAAAGAGGGAGTAAGCAGTGAGCACTGCCAGGTGTGACCCCCAAACCAAACAAGTTAAAAAAAAGATTGCCTGTGAGCACCACAGAGCGTCTCCTCCCCCACCAAGCTCTCTGGCCAATGTGCACAGAGCACTGAGTCTCTCCGCAGAGGGAGCACCCCGGGGTGCTCAGCGGGCACCGTTGCCGAAAGCTGGCCCAGTCTCCGGCTTCCTCCTCAGACTTTACCGCTTTGCTCCCCGGTCCGCTCAGGTTTCCCAGTGGCAGGCATTCCTGGGAATGCTTATCTTGTC